GACGAAATCAGTATTGATCAAACTTCTGGTTGTAAAGTTTTCTTGAAATTTTTACAGGAAAAATATGATCAAGCAATTGATTCTTTTTCAGATTGTATCAAGAAAATTATTGGTTGGGTTGTGAGGAAGAAGATAATTATTAAAATTCCAATAGTATTTTTCTCTTTGTTGTCTAAATTTACTAACTCAGAATAAACAAGTGATTATTTGAGATAGATCGATCTTATGGATTGGGATGATGATGTTGATTATTAGTTTAAAAATGTAAATCAAAAATTAAAAGAATTATCAGATGGATAATATTGTGATTCATTTTAAGAATTATTTGAATAGATTAAAATAATTTACAACTGCGATGAAAACTAAAAAAAATTAGGAGCAAATTAATTATTAACAGCAAAACAATTTATTTTAGATTTTATTGAATTAGGTACTTATTTTATTGTTAAAAAATTTACAAATGAAAATCTTGATGAAGATAAAATGTTTGATAATTTAATTAATTCTTTTTCGGATTTTGTAAATACTGATGAAAGAATGGAATCTTATCGTGGAATTGTTGGTTTGTGTTTGGCAATGGTCAGAAATTCTCAAGAAAAAAAGAAAGAAAATAAAGAAAAATAAAAATAAGAAAAATAAGAAAAATAAGAAAAAAAGTCTTTCGAATCTGATTTATTTAATTTGGGAATGTAAGGTAGATTAGCGGACTGTTTTAATCCTTTAACTTATCTTGGTACCTTTGAACAATAGAATGATGAAGATTATTAAAATGATGAAAATTATTAAAATGATGAAAACTATCAAAATGATTAAAATAGCGATTTGAATAGTTAAATAGAAGATCAAAATAGTTAAATGGATTATTCCGACGAAGATCAAAATGAAGATTTTTCAATTGACGATGAAAATTATCTCGATAGTTCAAAAACCAAAACCAGATAACATTATCAAACAAATGAAACTGATAAAAAAAATATATTCGAATTTAATTGAACAATGTTCACAACAATAAATTAGATAAAATATTTTGCTTTTCCATACCAGTTTAGCAGCGGCGATTAAAAAAATCAGATAGTAATTCTTTTCAATGAAGATAATAAACCACAATTCATTCTAAAAAAAACAATAAAATAAAATAAAATCAGTTTAAACTTAATAAAAATTTTTTGATAAAATTTAATATATCTCAGCCATTCGGCACAGCTACTTAAACTAGGAATTATGGTATATATCTAACTAAATAAAGGATTATGGAAACTTAGCAAGTTAAATAATAATAAAAATATCTCTTTTTTTAAAAATATCAAGTTATGAGTTTAATTTTGTTTACTCCTTAAAAATAGCTAAATTATTTGATAGTGATAATAGGTTAAATACACAAACAATAAATAGTTATATAATAAATAAAAAAATACAAAAATTAATAATTTCTAAACTTTAACTTATAGGTTGGTCACTCACTTCTTTTTTCTTTTTAAAGACTTTAAAGTATTTTTTTTTAACTTTTAGTTAAAAGTAAAAATAATCTTATCAGAGTTACCGTGAGGAAAGTATATTGTGTAGTCTTTCTTTTGATCGAATTCCCATATTATTTTATCAGTACCTACACTTTAAACTATGTCACTACGAGAACTTTGATTCTATTATTTTCCTAAAACAATCTATTAGCCTGGTAATACTTTTATTATATTTTCTAATCTAGATAGTTTCTTTAAACACTATTAAGTAATTTCTTTTAAAAAATTTTTGAAAGTTAGCTATGTATTTTAACTATGATAAGCAGTTTGTGGTGTAGATCCATCTAACATTTTACTTACAATACTTGTTTCCTTATTTAAACAAGGAAAAGTTATATCAATAAATATTAATAAAATATTACTTACTTTATGTAATTTATCCTTTATTGATTTTTGAGATCCATCACATTCATCTTGTAAACAATTCGATACCTATGTGTCTAAATTTAAGAAAATTTATTATGAGTTTTTTTTTATAATTATTCCTTTTCCCTTTTTTTTTATTATATCTTAGCTATGAGGTTTGTTTTCCTCCTCTTCATAGTTTATTTAAGAATGTGATCTGAGTGTTTTCATATTATTGCTTAGGGGATCAAATTCTTATTCACTAACAGCTAAGCCTTCATTGATACTTCCTGAGTTTTTTAATTAAGTAGAAGTTACCAAAGCTTCTTAAAAATCGCATTCATTACAAATATATTTGCATATATTTTAAGTTTATTATTGAGTGATTAAAGCATTGCTCTAAAATTTTGATTTGCGGCTGTAATTTTATCTAAATTATGCTAAGTGGTAATTATAATTTGCGATTACTTTTTCAGTTTATTTATCTATGTGAAGCAATGTGCACTCATATTATTGATGATTAAAGCTATTGCAATTCTCACATTTAATTTTTATATCTTCAAAATCTTAGTAAAATGATATTTTATCCTTAATTCTGCAAAAGTTTTGAAGATCCAAATCATTTTACTTCACTATTTCTAAGAATTTATTTCTGGGGATAGAAATAACTTAAGTAAAATCAACTGCTTTAATCGTAATTCCATCCTGCCTACCTTGGAAAAATGCTATTTAGCCAATAACTTTATTTTTACCAAAAGAATCTATTACAAATTCAATGTCTGAACCATCTGAATATGATCTAACTATCTCAACTTCAGTTTTTATAAATATAAATAGGACAAATTATCTAATTGAATATTAAATTTACCTTTGCCTTCTATGATATAAATCAATCTGCTTTCATCCTAGTTTTAATAATTATTAATCACTTATCCTGGCAAATAGTTCTACTCCTCTAAGTAAAGTAATAACTTTTACTGAGTATCTTAGCTAAAATTCTTATAAATTACATCTATTTAATTCAAAAATTTTCCAAAATACTCTTTTTTTAATTCCTATAGCAGATTTACTGAAATTTTAGAAAGTACAGTTTAATTTTAATCATCATCCTTTTTGAAGTTATGGTGGTAATAATATTCTAAGTCTAAATTTATTCCTCTTTATAGATTTCTAATTAATAGTTAAAATTAGCGAATAATCAAATAAATAAAATACAAGCAAATAAATAAATATGAGCTTAAATTAAAGAATAATTTTTAATACTTGCTAATTGATCTTTTTCTCATGTATTAATTAATTCGATTAATGTCTCTTCTTTAATTTTCTTCTTCTTAATCAAATTCAGTAAGAACGATTCCAATTATATTCAATAGATAACCAAATATGATGGTTGTAAAAAGCATAATGAATGAAGTAAATGAAATTTGTAATACTGTATCAGCTTCGTTAGATCCTGTTGTCATCAAGGTCAGTGACCAATATAGAGAACAAATATATAGCTTTACCCAATTTCTATCTGATGCAGCTATACTTTCATCAAACCAAGTTTTTTCTTCTCCTAAATATTCTAACTCTATATATCCTACCAAAAACCAAAGACATGCAATAATATGAGCTACTATAAAAATCTTTAAAACTAATTTAACAAGATAGAGAATGTAATAATTTTGATATGACATACAGATAAATATTTAAATGTCATTCAGCTTCTTAACTACATTTACTAATTTAAAAAATTATAGGATTTTAAAGATTGTCCTTGTTTTTATGTATTGAGGCTAAACAAATATCAATAAAAAAGCAAAAAAATCCCACAATGCATATTATTTTAAATAAAAAATGGCTATTGCCTTTCTATTTTTGACTAAGTTTGTTTTTTGGTAAAATGATGTGTTTAATTTAATAACTATTTATAAAGTCCATATTAAGTACATTGTGTTGTAAATCTATGATTCGAATTCTAAGTTAACTTGGAAGACTATTAAAATTGAAGAGTAGAAGAAAAAGAAACAATTTATTAAAGAAAAAACAATATCTAATCCAAATTTTAGATAGCTCTGTGGATTAAATAATGGTAAGTTATTTATTTTTTAGTAAAGTAATTCTGTTAAGGAGTCCATAAAACCGCAATATTGTTAAAAAATGTTATCTTATTCCTCAATAATATCACTCTTGTCATTAATTTGCTACCTCAACTTTGGATTTTATAGATTAAAACTTTTTCCCACATAGGTTTTTTCTCTAAAATATTTCTTCATTTTATTCTTTATATTAGACAAAGTAACTAATTCTTTTGACTTACCATTTCCTAGATAATAATTATCTTAAACTCTATCATCATCATTTTGATTATTTCTATTTAAAATTTTACATTTTGTATTGTCTACTTTTTAAAAATCTACTTAGTTCATAGGTTTGCTACTACTATTGAGTAGCAGATTAGGTTTGAAATGTGTAAATTTAGTGCTATGACTTTTATATTTAGCTAAAAAAATAAATTTATTTCATAATTTAGAATAAATTTTACAAAAAAATTAAAAATAAAAAAATGATTTTTTACTTTCATTAAAGTTGTCATTTAAAAAAACTGTAAAATTCTACTCATCATATTGAGAAGTCGTATTAGACATTTATTGAGTTTAAATATTCTTACATGGAATCACATCAGTAGGTATTTAATCTAGCTCACTTTGACATGACTCTTCAATCCTCATGTTCAAAACATCTAGCTGGCTATCTTTTTGTAAACATTTTTTCATTTAACTTTTTCTTTTATTTAAAAATTCGTAATTTTCTTGAGGATCCATTACTTAATAGTTTTGTTTTAAGAAACCTCTACTTCTTTTAATTTTTCTTTTTTTTTTCCTACTGATTAAAGTACGAATTAAAATAGTGGCTTTAAACAAAAGGCTCAAACATTATTAATTAATTAATTAATTAATTAATTAACTTTTTAAAGAATCGATTAAATGAATTAAATTACTTATTAATATTATTTGGTGTTAAACTGATTTCTTAAAGCATTTACTTCTCATTTTAATATTTTATTGTGAAATTAAACATTGTTATTACTTAATGAATGTATAAAACCTCTGATTATCATTTCTTTTATTTAATTGATATTAATATGAATTATTTGAAGATTTAAAATATAAAAACAAAGAGTTTTTTATTTTTAAAAAATAATTATTGGTTATTTATTAATTTTTAAATTCATTAATTTATATAATAAAAAAAATTATTTTTTAATTTTAAAAAATAAAAGAATTAAAAATAGAAATAAATTATTTATTTAAAAATAATTAAAAGTATTTTTTCTTTAATTTATATATTATTTTAAACAATAATTTTGATTGTGAGATTATTAATAGGTTTGAATACTATTATTACCATGTTAATGTATTAACTGATATAGAACTGATGCATTGGTAATACCGATATGAAGATATGTTTTATTATATTAAATTATCTTTTGTCAAAACAAAACAAACAAATAATATTTAGTTTGATAAATTGACAACATATTTAAAGTAAATATTTGATAAAGGTAAATAATTTTATAAATAAATATATGTTGATTCAATTAGCCTATTTTGCTTTAATTTTGGCTTACTATTACTTGCTCTTTCTTTTTAAAAATCTGTTATACTTAGTTATTACGAACTAACAATTCCCTTCAGGGAAATAGTAATTGAAGTCTTTTTATTTTTCAAATAACCATGGATTTTCAAATAGCTGTTGGTATATTTAATGCTCATCAAAACTTTTATATGTACTAATTTAAACCCTGTTATAGAATTTATCATAATTTTAGTTTCTCTCTAAAATACTTTCAATACTAAAAGGGTATTATTATCTTATTTCATTCTTTTATCTTTCCTAACCTTCCAACTTTGAAGAATTTTGGCACATACTATCTTGATAATTTTGCACCATTAAACTCTAATTAATAAAAAATATATTTATATCTTAAACATTATTTTCAATCAAAATTTGAACTTATTATTGCTATTAAAATATTTATATATATAAATTACAAAGTCAACATTGTTGCATTTAGTTATATTTTTAGTAGAACTACGATCTCTAAAGCTATCTTAATTTTAAAATAGACTTTACTTGAATTCCTTTTCTCTTTTTTATTAAATTTTTTTATTCTAAAAAATATCTTAAAATAAAATTTATTACCTTGGAACTTCTTGTTCATATTCCAATAAAGATTTTACAGCTCTAGAATACTAAGATATAGTTTTCTACTCATTTTTAATTAAAATACTAATTAAATAAACGTTTTTTTTATTAAATAAATATTATTATTGAACTATATATTTTTTTTATCAAATGTATTGTTTTTTTGTTTGTTTGTTTGTTTGTTTGTTTGTTTGTTTGTTTATTTGTTTGTTTGAGATTCGTCAAATAAAAATATTTTTTATTTTTAATAAATTATTTTAATCTATTTAAATATTAATATGAAAGTATTGATCTATCTTATTTATTTTTATAGCTTTCATGAGTTTAAGAAATAAAAATGAAATCTAATTCTAGAATGATAATTTGAATTTATATATTTATTTATTTTGGAATAAAAAAAAATAATTCAAGTTAGTTAATCAATTAATTACGAAATCAAGGCTGTTAGTTTTTGAAAAAAAGTTACGATCTTTAAAGCTATCTTGCTTCTAAAAGTTATTCTTGAAATCTTTTTCTCTTTTAGAAATATTTGGGCTTTTCATTTGGTCTTCAATTGATGGAAATTTTTATATATTATTTTCTTAGTCGAAATCTAAATATGACTTAAAAGCTTTTGTGTATGAGGTCAGAGATTTTTATTAGGAATAAGGCCCTTTATTATTATTATTGTTATTGTTGTTATTATTACTACTGCTTGAGTCAGATACATTAAAAAATTAAGATGTAATTATTGGAGTTTTATCTTCTCTGCTGTATAGATCATGCTAATTCTATAACTCGTTATTTGACAATTAGTTGACAGATCTGTCTTCAATTTCATTTAATTCTGATTAACTTGTAAACTGGCTTTTTATGTAAGTATTCTTATCTGTTAATATTACATTTTACTATTGAAATAATAACTAAAATTCTTCAATTAATTATTGGTTTATTAAAGTGTTTTTTGATTTTTACTTTTTTCTGGCCTTTTTAATTCTATTTTACTTTATTCTTTCGAAGTAAGTTAATTTATCTAAATAATCATTTCTATTAAAATGCAACAAAGGACAATTTATTGTTAGATGCTATGTCTTTTAGCAAACTGAACAATTTATTTTCAAATGCTTTTAGTCATTATAAATTAATATGTTGTCTTTTATGCAGTTAAAATTCTACCAATCCTTATCGTTTTCTTTCACTATTGATTGAAAGGATTCTCTTGAAAGTTTTATTACAGTTGTGAAAGTCTTTGCTTTGGCTTGAAATCCATTGGATTTTCCAGTAAAGAAGCTGTCATGACCAAATTCATCATATTTTTTAAGTTTAGATATAATCTATCTTACGTTAGAGCCTTCTTGAATCTTTCTAGATAACTCAACTTTTTGAGATTTGTATTAAAATATAAAAAGAAGAAATAATTAAAATAAATCTTACCTTCACCCTCAACAATGTAATAAAGTGAATTGGATTCATAATTTTCCTCATACAAAAAAACCTAATTTGGCAAATAATATGCTTCCTACATCTAAAGCGAAACTTTATAAAGAGTTTCTGGGCTAAAGTTAGACTTCAAACAATTGATTTTGTTGAGTACACTTCCAAAATACTCATTAAGCAGCTATTCTTTTAAATTCATAGACAACTTATCTAAAACAGTCTAATTTTATTCTTGTAATTTTTTGTAATTTTTTTAATAAAAATACTCAATATCTAGATTAATCACTCTCTGTAATTCTCTAAATTATTAAAATTAAAATTTTTTATTCATTTAAAAAATAAATCTTAAATCTTCATTCATTTATTTATTTATTTTCACCAATTCGTTCCCTTCTCCCTAAACTAAAATAAATACTAATTAATTAGTTTCTTTGTATTTTTAAGGAAACTTGCTGGGTATCAAAGTATTTGTAATTTATTGATTTATTTATTTTTAATATTTTAAAATATTTATTCAATAAATTTGAATGTTTTCAAATAAACTTTACAGTTTGTTTTATTCATTTTGATTATTTGCTGGACTAAATTTTTTTGTTGTTAAATAAAAAGTAATTAATTAATTCCTTTCAATCAACTAATTATTTACTAAATTATTTTGAAAACAAAAATAATAATAATATAAAAGCTACTAACTAAATTACTAACTTTCTTACTTACTTAGTTACTTCAAAAATAAAAATGAGATTTAATTTAGTTTAAGAAAATATTAAATGTTGATCAAAAAATGAAAATTACTTGCTTATTTTTCTTTATCTCATATATTTATTGATGATATTTATATCTTTTCTATGATTCATTTTTTCTTCGTCGTTCTGAGCAAGTATGAGTCCAATACTACTTACAAAATATCCAAAGATTATAGTTGTAAATAACATCATAAAGCAGGCAAAAAAGGCTTGCAGTGGAGTTTCTACTAAGCTCGAACCTGTAGTCATTAGGGTTAGTGACCAATAGAGAGATTAAACATAAATTTTCCACCAATCTCCTTGTTTAGAAAATCCTTCATCGAACCATGTATCTTAGTCTAAAAAAGTTTTTTCTATAATTCCAACAAGGTACCACATACAAGATAGTGTGTGAGCTAATATAAATAATTTGAAGATTAGATCTATTAATTACATTACATTATAGTATTTTTAAGTATTCATGCATATTTGTTTTTGAATTATGTTGAACTCTCTTACTATGTTGCGCGTTTTGATGAATGAAATAAGCTGCAAAGTAAGCTTTAAGTTCTTAGGAAATCCTCCAGTAATTGCTAACAAAAAATAAGGAATTATGTCATAAAGAGCTTCGTTTTAAAAATACAGCTTAAAAATTGTTTATCTGTTTTGTATATGCTCATTCTTAATGTAAATGGAGGAGTTAAGTTTAATTATAATTTCTAAGCCCCATAATCCAAAAAATACTTAGAAAGCAATATTATGAATCAGAGCTCCAAAAATCAAAGCTAAAGAGAGATAAGTGTAAAATAGAGAGTTCAGTAAAAAAATGATTATTTTTAAAGAGAGGATGATTTGGTTTTGAGGATTAAATGTAGGAATATCTTTAATTAAATTTAAGTTGCATTTTGTAATCCAGTTGAATATCTTGAAGTAATTAGTAAATTACTGAGATTATGAAGTTTGGTTATTGATATCGCTCAAATCATTTATAAAAAATTAAATTTTTTTGTTTTTGAGCAACTAAGTTCTACCAGATAACGTCTTATTTTGAAAGAATTGCCTTAATTTTTAGTAGATATTTGTGTATATAAGAAAGTTTTTATTTAATACACTCATTCTCATTTAATCATTTGCTGCTCTTCCATCCTTTTTCTTTTAATTGCTTCGATTTGAAATTATTTGTCTTTCTTTTAAATCCTTTTGCATCTTTAGCTAGTTGATTGATTTTTTTACTTGCTCATCATTAAAAGTCATTTGTAGTTCATCAAAATGATCTTGATTTCTATCTTGCTAAGACTAGTTAAATAATGATGTCTATTCTTTTTCATGTGTAAAAAGACTTTAAGTTTAAATGATTGGACTTAAGCTTTACTAAACTATCCCAATATTGCTAGAATTTATCTTAAATTTAGGATTCTTTGGAGTAATTTCATTTTCATATGTTTAGTAATTTTATGTATTTTATGAAATGTTATTCTCTTAAGAAATTATCTAATTCTAGTTTGCCATTAATACCTCACTATGGCACGATTCTTCAAGGTGATCTGCTACTTTTTTCAACTGAATATTGCTTTCTTATAAAGAGTCTTTTATCCTCTTTTTTTAATAATTTTAATTCTAAAAAAGATCATCTTCCATACTAAAACTAGATCTTTGCATTCCTCAATTAATTAAAATATGATGTTTTTTTGTTATTATTAAAAAATTAATATAGCTTCTAAATGCTATTTAATAATATACACTTACTTTCTAACATAATACTTTTTTTAGTAATACCCACTATCAGTAAATAAATAAATAAGTGCCTTCTTCTTACCCAATCAAATAAAATAATTAATAATTTATTTAATGGTTAATTTATTTTACATTCAATATATAAAGATAAAAATTTTCTAAAAAATGTTATCAAAACAATAAAAACTAATTACTATCTGTTTTGCTCAAAATTTTCTATATATTTCATTTTGTTTCGTTTTTTTTTATAATATTGCTTTTTAGTTAATTATAAAAAGATAATTCTAGCAACAAAGTTATTTCTTAATCAAGTAAATACTATTTTTTTCTTCACTTTTTCTATAAAAATGTCCTTAAAATATATTGCCTTCTTTTATTCCAAATTTCTTTCAAGTACAGTGAAAAATTTATAATTTTAATGTTATTTAATTGTTAAAATTAATTAATTTTTAGCGTATTTTTGTAAAAAAGAAATAATAAATAACAATTAGACTTTTCTTAAAATAAATTACGTTTAACCGCTGGATTAATAAATTAAATTAAGTTTATATTATCCAAATGTAACAAATTTTTATTTTATTTATAAGATAAAACATATATGAAATTGATTTTATTTAACTTTTAAAAAATATATTTGAAAAAAAGAAACTTTTATATCAATTTTTTGAATTTTAAATTTCATAAATTATATTAGTATTTAAGTAAGCAAAAAGTATGAAAAGGATATTATTGTAATTTATAAATTATTTATTTATTTATTTATTTTGTTTATTTAGTTCATTCATTTTTTATCTAAAACAAATTTAATTTGCTTTTAATTAGATTTTTTTTTGTTTGAAGTTTTAATATTGAGCTATTATGTATCGTTTGTTGAGCTGTCTACTAAGTTTTTCTTTTTATAAGTAAGAAATATTTTATTTCTTCTTCTATAATATGTGTTAAAGCTAGCTATTGTATGAGAGCTATTACCATCAGGAAAATAATATAAATAATCTCTCAACTAATCCATAAGCCACAATATCTTTTCTTCTTTATTTATTTTTTCAATCATTCTTTTTTTTTCATGATCTCGCGATATTAGAGTCTGCTAATCAAATTTCTTAAATTTTGACCTCATCGATTTCATATTATTTGCATTCACAATATATTAAAACATACTCATCATCTTATTAAACTAAACAGATTTATTAACTTAATTACTTAATTCTAAATCTTCTTCTTCTTCATCCTCTTCATCTTCTTCTTCTTCCTCTTCGTCAACAGGAGCTACAACATCCATTTAGCTGTCCTATAAAAACAAAAATTTTTAACTTAATAAATCAAACAAATATTTTTTTTACTTTCACATCTAATTAAGAAATCTAACTCTAACTTGTTGGCTTATTATACGGACTTAAATTAGAATTAACATTAACATTAACCACTAAATCAGATTTCAAATATTTGAGAGAAGGATCTCCAGATTATTTATATTAAGAAAAGTAGTCTGTATTTGCCCTTTATCTTTCTTCTTCTATCAAATTGTTTTAAATACTTGTTGTTGCTCCATTTATCATAATCGAATCCACAGGAGTAAAGTGAGAATCTAATTAAGTTAGAGTAAATAATTTTTTCTTTGTTATACACCTCTCATTTTATCTATCATATTCATCATCATTAAAATCTTACCTGCTCTGTGTTATATTTGAAACAGGATCTATCAATGTCTAAAACAAATAACTATACTCTGCTTTTTATTAAAGAGCTACTTATCTAATATTTTTTGTTTTAACTAGTTTTCTAACCACTTAAGTTCTATTTTATTTAAATTTTTCAAAAGTTCTTATCCTATTGTTTGTATTGTCTCTATCAAAATGTATAATAGGGCAATCACTTTCAAAATGCTTAAAGCTTTGGCATATTCGGCATTTTATTTGCAGCAATCTGAAATCATTGTATTAAAGTATGTTGTCTTTAATCAGGCACAATTGTTAAAACTCTTTATCATTTCCTTTTACAATATCAATAAATTATTATCTAGATATCTTTAGTATAGTAGTAAAAGTAGTAGCTTTAGCTTGAGCATTTCTTTAATTACCAGTGAAAAAACTTAGTTCACCAAAAACACAATCTTATTAAACCACTCTCAGTATTTTCGAGGCTCTCTCTTCACTAGAAACCTATCGAGATAACTCAACTATAATCAAAAGAAATTAATTAAATCAAATAATAAATTAAAATATATTGAAGGATTAAAGTAGTATTTATAAATTATCAATAAATTTTTAGTAAAATTTAATAATTAGAAATAAAATTATTTTTTGATTGTTTTTTTTAAGTAAAAATCAGAAAATTAATAAGAAATTAAATTATTTTTTGGAAAACTTTCAATAAGTAAAATGAATTTTGCTTAAAAAGAAATATTTAAAATGAATTTTTTCCAATTTAACCGAAAAATACACTTTGATTTATTCCGTGCTTACATTTAAAAAAATGCTATTGAAATAATTTAATTGAAAGAGATATTTTTTTTGATTTGTATTTATTTGCTAATCTAGCTTACATAATTATAAATCAATTTATCCAAAAAATTTAACTAACTAGAAAAAAACTTTTTATTAAATTTTTAAGTTAATAACTGCTGGTTTTAGAGAAAAAAATAGACATTTAACCAATAAAAATTGATTGTTTAGAATGAACTTTAATTAGAATTGATAATTTGTATATTGCAAAGCAATTATTTTATAATAGATTTAAATAAATGTTTGTAATTTACCTTCACCTTCTACTACATAAATCAGAGACAAATCTTCATTATCATTTTCATTAAAGATAATTTGATTTGGAAGAAAATATTCTTCTTAGCAACACAAAGATAATTTCTCAATAGTTTCTTATCCAAAGTTCTAATTTAAAAATCCTATTTTTGAAAAAATTCTACCAAAATAATCTGTTTTTAGTTTTTCATTTAAATGACAAGATATTTTCGTCAGCACTTACTAATTCTCTTCTTGAATTTTTTTAAAGTTTTTCTGATAATAGTACTCCAAATCTAAGTTAACTACTCTCTAGATATTTCTAAATAAGTAAATATAATCAATGAATAAATAATTAAAAAATTAAGATGAAATTTAAAATCTCGAACTATTTATTATATTTATATAAAATACTTGCTGATATTTCGAATTCTCATATATTTATTGATGATATTAATATCTTTTCTTTTGTTCTCTTCTTCTTCGCCTATTTCTGAAAGAATTACTCCGATCATACCAATTAAGTATCCAAAGATAATTGTTGTTAACGGCATAATGAATGAAGTGAAAAATATTTAAAGAGGAGTCTCAGCTATATTTGATCCTGTCGCCATCAAAGTTAGTGCCCAGTAATAAGCTTATAAATACAGTTTCCACCAATCTCCGTCTTTTCCTATACTGCTTTCATACCAAGTTCTTTCATTATCAAGATAATTTAGCTCAATCTAACCAACCAAATACCACATAATAGCTATAATGTGCCCGATTAAACAGGTTTTCAATATAAGCTTAGCTATTTAAATATAATAGTAATTTTCAATTGCTATGCAGAGCTGCTTTTCTATTTCGGATGCTTCTTTGAGAATGTTTTTTAGCTTCAAAAACGATATAACTTTCAAAATAATGTTAATTAGTCTGCTGTCTTGGCTTGATAAAACAAGAAAAAATGCTAATAAATCATAAATAGCTTAGTTTTTGAGGTAGAACCCTAGAATTATATATCTGTCTTTAACTAGATTGACATTAAGATAAATAGATGTATTAAGTTTTTTAATGATCTCAACTATCCAAAAAATAGAAACTGTAGTGAAAATTTAATCTTAATAGGATATTTCGAATTAAAATACAACAACACAAGAGAAGAATGTATAAAAAAATATATTCAGAAAACAAAAAAGCACATTGAAGAAAAAGCAAACAGGATGCTAAGGATTAAAAAGAGGTATTAATTTTACTAATTTGCAATTTTTGTTTTAAAAAAATTAAACAAATTAATCGAAGTAGCCTAAAAGACAGTTTTTGTTCGTATCAGTCCATATATCGCTAAGATCGTTAATATACTACCTCACCTTTATATCCTTTAAGTAGTTTCTCCTACCAGAAGGAGTCTTTGTCTAATAGAAGTGAAGAATTTTCTTGCGAATTTTCATAATAAAACCAATATTATTAGCTTATTGATTCTGAGCGAGAGTCTTTATTAAAGCTGACTATTTTTCATTAAAGTTTGATTTATTTAGGCAAGCATGCTCTTTTTTAACTTTATTAAGCGAATCATTAACCAAATAGTTCTACTATTATGTTTAATTAGATTAAAAAATGATCTAGCTTGGCTTATTTTAGTCTGTAATGTTAATGGGGCTATCAAATATACTAATTTCGTTATTCTTTTCTTGAACCCTCGATTTAAAGGATGAAATTTCAAAACTGGTTCTTTTTTTTTATGAATCTGTAATGAAAATTTTAGAGTGAGTTCTGTATCTCTCTATTTGTTCATGATTACTAATTTATTCACTCAAAATAGTATCTTCTCTCTTGTTAATCATATTATTTAAATCAAAGCTATCATCCATGTTTTTATTTTTTAGAAAGAATTTTAACTAATTTGAGCAATTTTAGCTTTCATCAATCTTAGATGAGTCAGAGCTTAACATGTATATTTATTTTGCTATTTATCTATCACTGATTCCTTCGATGTTTGGTTATTTCAATAATTAATTAATTGATTTTTAATAAACCAAAAGAGTGATTAGTAAATTGATTGAATAACTTAATGAAGCAATAAAACAAACAAATAAACAAAAATTTGGTTTTTTTAACTTATCAATTTTAAAAATATGATTCTAAGTTTGTTTAAGTGGTAAAATAAAAAAAGTTAGTCAATAAAATAAATTGTCAAAAAGCTGAAAAAGTAATTTATTAAACTTTTTTATTCATTGAAAAGTCTAATTTATTTCTATTTATGATATTTGTTATCTCTATTAAAAATATTTATTTAGAGCATAAAAAATACATTCAAATTTTATAAATTTTTCATAATTTTAACCAAAAATATTTCATTTAACCTATTTATTTTTTCTCTCATAAAACTCCTTTTTATTAAGAATAAAAATTAATTAGCTTTTGTATTGCAAGATATTTTATAAAAAAATTTTAATTAAAAAAAATAAATGGAATAAAATAAATAATTTGTGCCTTAAAACGAGACCTAAGAAGATTCTTAGTAAGATTCTCAAATAAAAGGATAAGTTGAAGAATATTCTCATTTTTTGTTGAATTAAATTGAGGTAAGCAAAAATGATAAAAGTGATTAAAATACATACAAATTAAATAAGGACATTTTAATTATCCGAAAGGGAATAAACTTAGAAATTTAAACACAGAGCAACTCTTTTAATGAAGCATTATCTAACTTGAAAATTCTGGAACAATTTTTCCTAAGAAACTAAAATGCCATAAAAATTAAATTATAAATGAGTGTGTAATTCAAAGACAGTCAAGGAAGACTCAACTTTTCTCAAAACCTTTTAAAGCTGACAAATTCAACTCCTTTTATACAATAGCTAAATTTAAAAATTACAGGAAACATTTCTAAGGAGCAGACAAAAAAATTAATTGAATCATTAAAAAATTTTATTAATCTTAACAGCTTAGAGCTGAATTTTCATCAAAGTATTCTTGATGATCAAGTCTCAGAAGGAATATCTCAGCATATTAGCGAGATTTAAACATTACGTACTTTGAAAATCTTTGCAAAAATTGAAGATTTTATTTCAAGGAAGTTATCAAGGAAGAGTATAATTAATATCAATAATGCTTGCTATAAACTTCTCAAACTAGAAATATTTCAATTCCCTTATCTAATAGATAGAAATACAAAAAATAACATACTTCCTGTATCAAACTTTTTATACTATAGAGCTTCTAACTCATATAATTATTCATTATAACATTTTCTCCCTTTTTAAATGGAAGACTTCAAAAAATTTAAAGAGTAACTCTAACAGAAAAGAGATTAAATAACATAAGTAGTCTTTTATGAATACTAAACTTTAAAGTATCACACTGATTTTATAGAAATTTAAGAGCAGGATTATCAAAATAAGCTAGATATGGTCTTAGATCTACCTTATTTAACTTACTTTTTTACTAATTTCTCTACTTATAATAATCATGTAAAAAGATTAAGAGACAAAAAAATATCTTAAATTTAAGGCTTGCTAACTCAAAGAGTGAAGAGTTTGATCCAAATTATTGCCTTTTAGAAATTTGTTTCTCCACCTTTGTAAGTTAACCCTCGTTTTGTATTACTTGATTTGTATATAAATTGAGTTTTCTATTTAAAATTAAATTCATTTTTATAGATAAATTAATTCACAATTTATTTTTGTCTTTTTTTGAATATAATAAAATCAAATAAATATTATCACCTGCCTTAAAAATACCTTCATTTTCTTTCTAATTATATTATTTCATATTTTATATACTGATTTTTATTCGTAGACAGACCCTTATTCTCAATTTATTTATCATAGATTATATTTTATCTCTATTTTGTTAATTTTTAAAGATAAAAAATCATTTATTTGTTTGTTTTTTATTAAATTAAAGTAATTTAGAAAATATTAAAATTTTGTGATTTTTATTTTATTTATTATAAAAATATTCTAGTTAACTAATAATATATTAAATTTTACTTGATAATGATTTAAGATATTCTAAATTTTAGTATTTTATAAGCTAGTTTATAATATGTTTTAATTTAGTAGTATAATTTAATAATGATTTACAAATAAAAATATAATAATAAAAGTAAATATTCTTTGAAAAGAATATTTGTTTACTTATTAACTAATTAAGATAAATATTTTTAATTCAGATAATTTTTTATATGAATCTGATGAAATGCATTTCATCATTATAATACTTTTAAACAAAATTTATTTAATAAATAAAGATATCAATTTTTCTAAATCTTATTAAATGTTAATTGATAAATAATTTAAGATATTTTACATTAAGCTAATATAAAGTTGACGCATAATATTATATAATATAAGTTAGTTAGTAGTTTAATTTTAATAATGTATTAATATATACTTTAGTAATAAGAGTAAAGATTTGTTTTGAGAATATTTATTTATTTATTTATTTGCTAATTAATATAATTGCTTTAATTATTTTGTTTTCTCAGATCAAAAAAAATCATTAAATGATAACGCTTTCACAAAAAGTGCCAATATTATCTAAGCTAACTTATTGGCATTCCTTTTAGTTAATTTATTAAATTGTGATTATTTTAAATGAGAATCCATTTTGCTAGAACTTTTAGATGTATTATTTTAATATGAGGTATTCCATATTGTTTGATATATTTTCATTATTTTCTATTAAGTAGACTGCTTAGTTAACCAAGAATTCTATTTTTAAGTTTTATGCAGCAATCATTTTTTAATAGTCTTCGATTAAATTCTTCTCTCTTTACACACTACATTCAATTTAAGAGCAAATAGTTTCACACTCAATTTTATTTTCTACAACAAGAATAATTTGCTCATCAACATAATAGTTATCAGGATTGACCATTCTTTGTAAGTCATTGAGAAATTTTTAATTGATGAAATCAATTTTTTCTTCATAGAGGCTCATAATTTTTAGCATCTTTTTTATTTTACTTTTCATATCAGAAGAAACTCCATTTACACAGCCCATTTATTTTATCTTATTCAATTATTATATAGAAAATTAATTAATTTTTGATTATTTTTGAAATTAGTTTTTTTTATGTATATTTTTAATTATTTTTTTGTTATTATTTATACAAAAGTACTTATGCGCATTTCCTTTTTATATTTATTCATGCTAAAAGAAAAGGCTTTCAAAATTTCCCAATCAATCAATTAAAATTTTAGGCTTAACAAAAACTACTTTATCCTTGATTTTATTTGGCGAATTTTTTTAATTCAGTAAAAAACTAACTGAAGAATGGAATTTTTTATAAAATGGTAAACAAAAATATTTTAAATCCTTAAATAAATCAACAATAAATTCATTCTCTAAATATAATTTTCAAACATTTTAAAATTAGCGTAAATTTTTAGCATTTATATTTAGATATTTTTCTGGTTCAGAGCTTTAAATTAGCGTCAGCTTTATTCAGAAATTGAAAATTAACAAATTTGCATGAATTAATTTCAAATAGAATTTTGTGAGAACTCTGATTCTATCAAAATATCAAAAAGCAACAAGCATTCTAGCTTTAGTTTTAGCTAGAAATTTTGATTAAGTTATATTTATCTGAAGATCTATCTTTATAAATAAAAAATACCTTGTTTTTTGCATAAAATCTCTCCATCATAAGTAAATGCAATCTTCAATAAAATTATTATTTTAAATTAAATAACTGAATAAAAGTATTTAAAAATAATAATAAAAATAAGCATTATTTATTAGTTTTATGACTTCTCTTTCATTAAATAAAGATAATATGTTTTCAAGCAAATGAATAGATTTTTATTTGTGTTAGCTTAAAAACAAGAAATTATTTTTGCCACTAGTAATTTAGTTTGTTATTTACCACACATACTTTTTCAATAAAAGCCTAAAAAAGAAAAATATTAGATATAAATATATACATACACACATTTATAATTCAAGAAGCAAGTAAAATTATAAAAAAATAGCCAGAAATATTGTAATTCTATAGATTTACTTGAATTTTTAAGTAAAAAAAGTAATGAATCGAAATTATCTATAAGAATAATCAGATTTATATAGGTAGTAGTTATATTTTTCTGGTTCAGAACTTTAAATTAGCGTCAGCTTTATTCAGAAATTGAAAAATTAACAAATTTGCATGAATTAATTTCAAATAGAATTTTGTGAGAACTCTGATTCTATCAAAATATCAAAAAGCAACAATCATTCTAGCTTTAGTTTTAGCTAGAAATTTTGATTAAGTTATATTTATCTGAAGATCTATCTTTATAAATAAAAAATACCTTGTTTTTTGCATAAAATCTCTCCATCATAAGTAAATGCAATCTTCAATAAAATTATTATTTTAAATTAAATAACTGTATAAAAGTATTTAAAAATAATAATAATAATAAGCATTATTTATTAGTTTTATGACTTCTCTTTCATTAAATAAAGATAATATGTTTTCAAGCAAATGAATAGATTTTTATTTGTGTTAGCTTAAAAACAAGAAATTATTTTTGCCACTAGTAATTTAGTTTGTTATTTACCACACATACTTTTTCAATAAAAGCCTAAAAAAGAAAAATATTAGATATAAATATATACATACACACATTTATAATTCAAGAAGCAAGTAAAATTATAAAAAAATAGCCAGAAATATTGTAATTCTATAGATTTACTTGAATTTTTAAGTAAAAAAAGTAATGAATCGAAATTATCTATAAGAATAATCAGATTTATATAGGTAGTAGTTAATTAATGTAAATACATATCAATACAATATATTTATTAATTTAAGTAAAGAAATATTAGATAGATAATTTCTTTATATTTATTTATTTATTTATTTTTCTAACTAATTTAACATTTGTAATTTAAAGAGATAATTAGATATATTTATTTAATCTATTAATATAAAGGCTTATTATGCATTTTTCATTTCATCTCTTTAATTACTTGGATAATAAACAATAGATTATAATTGTAATTTTAGTAATTCTGCAATTTATTTACAGAAGTGGTAGTAATTAGCGATAAAAATCTAAATTTGCAATTACACTAATTTTTGAGTTTTTGAAGTAATCTCAAAAAAAGATTTCTAACAAAAGACTCAAAATAATTAATCAATTTATGATTATGCTTTCGCGCAAATCCCCAAAGTTTTATAGTGTATTTAAGTATTCTTATTGTTAATTATTTTCTTAATTGATATCAACTATCTCATATTAGAACTCATTTTAAAAAAATTATTTTATGTACTATTTCAAGACTAGGAAATCTATGTTATTTTAATAAGCTGTACAGTTTTCTGTGTATAAAAGTCCTTTCAATACTTGACATTTGAGCTCTTCAAGATATTTTTTGAGTTAATTTCTATATTTTTCAAACATTTATTGTTGACAAAACTCAAGTTCATCCTTATCGAAAAATGAAGATTTAGATGAAGTATGAAATATAACTATTGTCTTTTCTTCGATTGCGTAGCAATGAGGATCAAGTAGTTTTTTTATATTCAAGAGCAACTTTTTGTTTGCTTTGTTTATTTTATTTTCGATTTCATTCATATTTTAAACAATATCTCTTATTTCATTTTTAATTTATTCACTGTTTTCGTAGCAGCCATTTATATTTCCCATTTCCTCTGTTTGTTTGTTTCTTGATGCTATTGTTTTATTTTTTTAATTATTATTTTAATAATTTTAAAAATATTTATATAATTTGGCTTTATGATTACTTAAATAAGTATTAAATTTTATCTATTCTAAGCATTAATTAGCCTGAAATTGGAAGAAAATTTAAATTTTAAACAAAATTAAACATCCTATAAAATCCAAAATATTAATTTTTTAGTGAAAATATTTTAAATTTGGTGGTTAAAACTCACTTAATGACTAAAAATTACCATTTTAAATATTTTAGAGTGTGTATTACATTCTAAAAAATGTAAATTATTGATAAATATATTTACTATAAATATAAATATATACAGGAAATAATATCAGTTTTATATTGTGTTGAGATAATTGATTGATTTAGATTGTTATTTAATCTTTTGAATTTTTAATTTACATAATTTCAATACATAATTTAAGTAAACAGCAAAAATTAATTAAATTTACCCAAAAAAGATGAATAATGAAAGTATCATATCCTATTTTAATTACACTTTCAATAATAAGCATTCAATAAAACATTAATGATATTTCTAAATACATCTAAGTAGGGCTAGAAATATAGTTGCGATATTAAAAAGCCCAAAGAATTATAACAAATTTTATCTGTGTATTAAGTTAATATTGCTTAATAATAAAATATTTTTTACAAAATTAATAAAAATAATACAAATAAAACTGTATTTAATCTATTCTATCAAAATTTGATTTACATAATTAATAGTCTTGATTAATGTAATCCTATCAATCAAAGTGCAATAATATTAAAATCTGATAAAATTTGATTTTTTTTAAAAACTTTTCTAGATAATTTTATTAATTTGATAGAACTTTTCTAGAAATAATCTGTTTAATTATTGATTTCTTTTCGCTTTTTTTAAAGAAAATCAAATAAAATCATCTAAATTTTGAATGAATATCTTTTTTATTGGTTTTAATTACTCAATTGTATAAGATACAATTCTAAGAAGTATTTTTAAGATTTTTATAAGATATTGTTTAAAAAAAATTTATTGTATCACTTGCAATTTAATTAAGAAGGTTACAGCAATTTTAGCTTTTTATTAAAAAGACAACATAATTATGTGATATCTTTTAGTATTATAAATAGACTCATAAGCATCAATAAAAAAAGTTATTTCAATTATATGCAATTTGTTTTAATTTCTCAGTAATAATTAATATTATTTTTCTGTTAAAAATGAATGAAGCATATTTATTAAATAGATTGTTTGTTTTTAATTTGCTAAAAATTTGTTAGAATTTTTTATTTTTAAATAAAAAATAATAAATAATTAATTTGAATCTAATTAAAATGATTTTTTCTCTCTCTTTTTATTTTTAGAAATTGCTTGCTAATTTTAGCTTAAATTATTTATATTATTAAAATAAATAAATAAATTAACTTTAATAATGTATTGTACTTTTCAAATTTTTTAATTCTAATTCATGTACTTTAAATCAACTATTTATTTTAATAAGATTTATTGGCAATTTGGAGATGAGTGAGAAGGAGATGGTCTTAATATATAAGGAATCATAGTATTTGTTTTTCTTTAAATTATAATTAAATTTTATAAATTTAATTGAATTTATTAAAATATAAAGCTTCTTTTTTATCATTTTATCATTATTAAATTTTTTATTAATTTAAATTTTCATTTTAAACCTGAGATGAGTTTTTTAATTTAGAAAAAAAAGATTTGATTTTTTGTGAATTTTTAATTTAATGTTTTTTTAACAAAAAAATAATTTATTAATTTTGAAGATGTATTTTTTTATTTCTTTATTTAATTACATTTAATTTTTTACAAATCATTTCTAAATAATTCTTTAATGAGAATCACGAACTCTAATTTTATTTAATTCAAAAATTATTTTCTCTCTTCATAAATTTTTTAAATTAATCTAAGTAATTAGTATAAAAATTATTAATTAGATGTTATCCAATCTAGGCTCTATGCTATTAACTTAAACTAATTTCTTAGCATCAAAGCAATAGCATAAATAAAATAGTTCATTTTTTAGTATTATTTTTAATATAAATTCTCATTTATTTTTTAATGTCTTATTTTTAAACGGTTTCTATTTATTTTATTAAGTAAGTTATCTTTATTTTAAATCAATATTTTTATTTAAATTTTTTTTTCATTTTATTTTTTTTGAAACGAAATCAAAGATTTAAATTTAAAATAATTAAACTTAAACAATTAATTTTTATGATAAATAAGATAAATAACTCATACACTTAAAATATATTCAGAATCAAGATATAATAAATATTTATACTACATTTTATTTATTTTTAATAATTGTTTTTAGTCAATTTATTTGTAAATTTTATCTAATTTTCAACTTTTATTAATTTTTTAATAGAATTTTTTTATGCAAAATTTTAATACAGGGAATTCTACATTACTTTGTATGCTGACAAAATTTTAAATGTAGAATAAAGCTTAGTTAATCAAAGGTTTTATTTTGTCATATTATTCAGCAATTTATTTTTGGTGGTTTTCAATTTAAATTTACTTCTTTTTTGCACTGCAATCTAATTAAGAGAAAATTGTTTCGCATTCTGATTTATTTTCTACTACGATTATTATTTATTCATCAATTTAATACTCATCAGAAATAAGTATCTTTTGTAAATCGGTAAGGAATTGTGAGTTGATACTGTTTATTTTTCCCTCATATTAAATCATTATATTCAACATTTTTTTAATTTTAGTTTTCAGCTTTTGATTGTTTTAAACTCCATTTACACAGCCCATTTCTGTTTATAAGATAAGATTATTAATTAATTAATTAAGTAAGGTATCTTTGAAATTAGCTTATTTCAAGTATATTTTTTTATGATTGATTATATTAAAGTAGATATTCTAATTCATCACTTTATTTAATATTCTTTTAATGCTTTTAGAAAAAAGATATTTATAATTCCCCATTCAATTAATCACTTTTTTCCTTCTCTGAATGTAAATTTGCAAATATTTTTCTTCAATTTCATTTGAAAGAGATGTAATTCAATTGGCTTAAATATATAGAATGAAATATTTTCTGCTTACATCGGCTTTGCTAGTATTTCTTTTTAAATAGTATGATAAATACTTTTATTAAATCTTTTAGAAATTAAGATAAATTTTTTTACTTTATTTAAAATCATATTTAGCATTGTATTTTCGTAGCATTTTTCTTTATATAATTAATGATTTCTAAAAAGTTCAATTTTACTCATTAAACCAACAAACAATACATTAAAGAATTTTTAAAACTATTTTTCAACAAAGTCCGTCCTTTAAATTTTCTAATCAAGAAGTAGCATTCTAGTTTTTAATTTTACTAAATATTTTTGTAAAGTTTAATTAGCATTTAAATTCATCTAAAATACTAACTTTTTTAAATTCAAAGTAATTATTTTATAAAGAAAATAACTGCTTATAAACATAATTTTATTATCTATTTAAGAAAGTGGAATGGTAAAAAATAAATACTCATATAACAAATTATATTATATAAGATTTACCAAAAAATAAAAACAACAACAATTCTCGAATAAGTAAGTGGTAAAAAATACTAATATAACAAAATATATAATATAAGACTTACGATCAAATAAAACAACAAACAATACTAGAATGGAAGAAAATTAATTATTTGGGAGACAGCCACAAATAAATAAAATTTTTAATTAATTAACTTTATTATAAATTATTTATTCCAAAAAAAATAAAGAAGAAATATTACAAAAAAAATAAATAAGAAAATATTTAAAGAAATGTTGAACGAAAAAGGTGTCTCTGACCAGAAATAATTGAGAGCCGTCAGTGATAAGCTCGATAATGCTATGGGATGGAAAGACGGATATAAAGAAACAAGTGGAACAAGAGGCTTCATTCATGGCGCTTATCATACTGGTGTTGGTGTTGCAAAGTTTGTAGTTGGGAACACTTAGGGTGCAAAAGCAGAATTAAATTAAGCTGGAAAATAATTTTCTAAAATGATTGACTGACTGATTGAATAAGATTCTAAATATCTTTCCCTTAAAGTTTCTCATATAAATATGAGAAGATATAAATCATATGTCCAAATCCATTAATTAAAAATAAAAAATTGATTTGAATTATTTTATTGCTGTTGTCATTTTATATACTTCTATCTATGTATCTATGTATGTATGTACTTAACAGATTTATTACAGAATTTAAGTGCAAAACTTTTAAATTAGATATTTTTAATTAAATTGATTGAGTTAATACTAAAATAAATAAATAAATCAATCAATCATTCCCATTTTATATAATTTCTTATTAATCACTCAAAATATTTTTAGAAATAGAGAAAAGGAATAATTAAATAAACTTATACAATTTGATTTCTTGATTGACTGATTTGTTTATTTGGTAAAAATAGCAATCACCCACAATAAAGGTATTAGAAAAATTTAAAAATAGTAATCAATATTCTAATTTACTTTTTCTGTTATGGCAAAACTTCAGGTAAAAAATTAATTCTTAATTAAATTTTGAGCTTTTAGAATAATTTAAAAATATTAATCAATATTCTAATTTACTTTTTCTGTTATGGCAAAACTTCAGGTAAAAAATTAATTCTTAATTAAATTTTGAGCTTTTAGAATAATTTAAAAATATTAATCAATATTCTAATTTACTTTTTCTGTTATGGCAAAACTTCAGGTAAAAAATTAATTCTTAATTAAATTTTGAGCTTTTAGAATAATTTAAAAATATTAATCAATATTCTAATTTACTTTTTCTGTTATGGCGAAACTTCAGGTAAAAAATAAATTTTTAATTAAATTTTGAGATTTTAGAATAATTTAAAAATAGTAATCAATCAATATTCTAATATTTTCTGTTATTATCAATCAAATAAACTAAACTAATTTAAGCTAGTTAAAAATGTTTTAAATATTGTTATTAAAAAAGCTGTATATATGAGAGAAACGAATAAATTTAAATTATTAGGCCTCTTTATCTTTTAAGAAATCATATATTCAGTCTTAGAATAATAAGTTTTAATAGCTTTAAAAATTATAATAAAAAATAAATTACATTTTTCTAGCAACATGCATATTTTTGCAAAAGTGTATACTTGATTTATCTTTTATCATCCTTTAAAAAAACATGTTTGCTAAATTTAAATTTAATTTTTAATGGTTGTTGTTTTTTGTAAACCTCAAATTTACATTTTCTAATCAAGAAGTAGCACTCTAGTTTTTAATTTTACTAAATATTTTTGTAAAGTTTAATTAGCATTTAAATTCATCTAAAATACTAACTTTTTTTTATGTTATAACAAAATATATTACATAAGGCTTACGATCAAATAAAACAATAAATAATACTAGAATGGAATTGGGAGACAGCCACATATAAATAAATTGTTTAATTAATTAACTTTATTATAAATTATTTATTACAAAAAAAATAAAAAAGAAATATTACAAAATAAATAAATAAGAAAATATTTAAAGAAATGTTGAACGAAAAAGGTGTCTCAAACCAGAAAGAAATGAGATCCTTCAGTGATAAGCTCGATAATGCTATGGGATGGAAAGACGGATATAAAGAAACAAGTGGAACAAGAGGCTTCATTCATGGTGCTTATCATACTGGTGTTGGTGTTGCAAAGTTTGTAGTTGGGAACACTTAGGGTGCAAAAGCAGAATTAAATAGAGCTGGAACATAATTTTCTAAAATGATTGGCTGACTGATTGAATAAGATTCTAAATATCTTTCCCTTAAAGTTTCTCATATAAATATGAGAAGATATAAATCATATGTCCAAATCCATTAATTAAAAATAAAAAATTGATTTGAATTATTTTATTGCTGTTGTCATTTTATATACTTCTATCTATGTATCTATGTATGTATGTACTTAACAGATTTATTACAGAATTTAAGTGCAAAACTTTTAAATTAGATATTTTTAATTAAATTGATTGAGTTAATACTAAAATAAATAAATAAATCAATCAATCAATCATTCCCATTTTATATAATTTCTTATTAATCACTCAAAATATTTTTAGAAATAGAGAAAAGGAATAATTAAATAAACTTATACAATTTGATTTCTTGATTGACTGATTTGTTTATTTGGTAAAAATAGCAATCACCCACAATAAAGGTCTTTTCACAATCGAATTAAAGTCACATATATTCTTTTAAAATAAAATGAAAAACTCCTGTTATCAACCAATCAACCAACTAAACTAATTTAAGCAATTAAAAAATGCTTAAATATGTTATTATTAAAGTTATATGAGAGTGCAAAACTTTAAAATCATATATTTTTAATTAAATTGATTGAGCTAATCCTAAACTAAAGCAATCTATCTCATTTTATATAATTTCTTTTTAATCACTTAAAATAGAAAAAGAGAAAAGGAATTAAATATTCTTCTACAATTTTATTTCTTGATTCATTGATTTGTTTGTTTGTTTGTTTGGTAAAAATAGCAATCACCCACGAAAAAAATATTATCACAATAAAATTAAAGTCACATATATTTTTAAAAAATAAAATGCAAAACTTCTGGTAAAAAACTAATTCTTATTTAAATTTTGAGCTTTTAGAATAATTTAAAAATATTAATCAATATTCTAATTTATTTTTTCTATTATGGCAAAATATCAGGTAAAAAATTTATTTTTAATTAAATTTTGAGATTTTAGAATAATTTAAAAATAGTAATCAATCAATATTCTAATATTTTCTGTTATTATCAACCAACTAAACTAAACTAATTTAAGCTAGTAAAAAATGTTTTAAATATTGTTATTAAAAAAGCTGTATATAAGAGAGAAGCGAATAAATTTAAATTATTAGGCCTCTTTATCTTTTAAGAAACCATATTTTCAGTCTTAGAATAATAAGTTTTAATAGCTTTAAAAATTAGAATTAAAAATAAATTACATTTTTCTAGCAACATGCATATTTTTGTAAAAGTTTATACTTGATTTATCTATTAAATACATGTAATAGCATCGTTTAAAAAAAATATGCTTTCTAAATTTATATTTAATTTATTAATGGTTGTTGTTTTTTGTAAACCTCTAAAACACAATTGCTTGTTTAAATGTTAATTTATAACAATAATTTGATGAAAGTAATTGTGTATTTAATTTTGATTTTATAATTAATTAATATTTACTTTATTTTTTAAAATAATAAAATTTTATGCTTTGCAAAATACTTTTGGAAAATATTACGATTTCTTGATTTATTTATTACTAATCATATCATTTTTTAATTTTTTATCACTAAAAATTGAATAATTTACTAATAATACATACTTATCGTTTCATGGATAATAAATATTATTCAGTATAAATACGATGTTTGATTCTATTCTAAAAAATAAAAATAAGGGTTTAACAATTTTTTTAATTAATAAAAACAATTTATAATATTTTTAAATTATGATATTTTCTTATTTAATTTTTTAAACAAACAAACAAATAAATAAATAAATAATTATCAAAGTATAAATCAAAAATTTTACCTTTTCAAAAATAAAAATTATGATTTAAATAATTAATAAAAGTTATTGCTAAAAAAATATGATGAAATGTTAAATAAAATATAAAAATATTATAAAAATTACAATTATACCAAAGGTAATTAATTAATATAAATTTTAAATCTATTTTAATTAATTCACAAAATTAAAATATATATTTATTATTTAAAAAGCTTAATGAAATAATAAAAATAAATGAATGATTTTAATTTTAATGATGGATTTTTATTTGATTTGAATAGAATTTATTTAAAAATCTAAACTAAAGTAATATAAATAAATATTTTCATAATAAATATTAAAGAATTTAAAATTATAATTTTATAATGTATTAATTTTTTTTTGGTATTTTAGTAATTAATTAGAGTAAAGATTTATTTTCATTAGAAGTTATTTAGTTATATTTATTTTCAGTAAATTAAATATTTTTTAAGTTCTTTAGAAAGATAAAATTCATTCATTTAAATAATGTAATTAATGATTAATTTTGATATTTCACTAATTAAAGTAAAGATTTTGATTTGAGGATATTTAGCACTCGTTATTTTTAGCATGATTAAAATTTAAAGTTGTTTAGTTAGATATATCGATTCATTATATTATAATGCTCTCACAAAAAGTACCAATGCTATCTAAAATATCTATTTGGTGGTTATCCTTTTTTTAAATTTGTTAAATTATTATTATTTAAATGAGAATCGATTTTATTAGACTTTTTAATTCATTAATTTAATATTAAAAGCTCAATATTTTTTTAGATATTTTAATCATTTTAAATTGTAGAAGGGATTATCGGATAAAGGTTTTACTTTTTCATTTTATTCAGCAATATATTAATCATAATTTTAGATAAAGGTTTACTAATTTTTAACACTACATTCAATTTAAGAGTTTATAGTTTCACATTCACTTTTATTTTCTACAACAAGAATAACATACATGTTCATCGTATTTAATAAGGCTACCCATTTTTTATAAATCTAAAATTATTTTTTAGTTTATTTTTTTATTTTTTCTTCATATTATCTCATTATTTTTATCATTTTTTTAATTTTACTTTTATTTAATATCAAAATTGATCCTATTTATTTTTAGGAAGTTTTTTATTATTCATTTTTTTAAAACAAAATCAGATATGTTCAGAAAATAAATGATATTAAATTTGAATTTATTTCGTTTCAAATAGAACTATTGGAGAAATTCCAACAATCTATTGATTAAAAAATAGCATTCTAGCTTTTTTTTATAGCTAAACAACTTCTTTATGTTTTTTTGTGTGTAATTATTTTTAATAATACTGCCTTTTATGTGAGTTATATTATTAAAGCAAGCTCTTTTATGTAAATTTATAGTTCCAATTAAATCTGAATGTCTTAATAGTAAAAATATGCATTAATAATTTTTATGTATGTAAAAACTTATGCATTTATTTATGCCTACCATTTACTTTTATAAAAATAATTTAGAAAAATTGAATTATTTTAACTAGTCAAATGATAAATTATATGAAAAAAAACCTTAAAAAAAGAGAAGAAAATTAAAATATTTTATTTCAATCAAATTAATTAAAACTATAGAAAATTCATAGTAAATTTTAATCAATTTTAATAGTTTTTTTTACATTCAATTTTAATATGCAAAAAGAAAGCAAAAACTTAAATTTAAAAAAAATATTCATATTTATGTCAATAAGAATTAATATAAAAAAATATATTTATATGAAATTAATTTATTTTTTAAATTCATAAACCTTTTTTATTTTTTGTTAAGAGAAAATTTTTTATCAATATACATACCTCATCTTTTCCTTAAATTACATATAAAAAAGATAATTAAATCATTGCTTATTTATATTAATTTGCAATCATTAGTAAAAAGTTGGTGTAAAACAATAAAACTTATTATAAAATTTGATTTATAATGAAACCTCATTAGTTAAAACAAAATTTTATTAAATTACAAAATATTTTGTTCTAAAACTTACAAAAATAAATAGATAGATAGTCTTAATACAAAGTGGATTAAGTATATGAAGAATTAATTTTAATAAAAATTAAATAAAATTAAATTATAAAATTTGTATTCTAGACTTTGATTGAAATTGAAGAATATTTAATAAGAAATATTATTTAAAGTTTAATACATACACATAAAGATAGATTTTAGAAAATGTTAAAAGGAAGTAGAATTTTTATTAATTTTTTAGGTGTTTATTTAATATATAGATATATAGATAGAGTAAGATTTTTATCAGAGAATTTTTTTGATTGTTAAAGTAAATAAGTTATTATTATTTTTAAGAGGGAATTCATTGGATAATAACACTTTCACAAAGAGCACCAATAATATCTAAATTTGTTTTAAATTTTTATTTTTAGTTAATTTATTGGATTGTTATTATTTTATATGAAAATCCATTTTATTAGAATTTTTTTATGCACTATCTTAATACAGGGAATTCTACATTACTTTGAATGCTGGCAAAATTTTAAATGTAGAATAAAGCTTAGTTAATCAAAGGTTTTATTTTGTCATTTTATTCAGCAATTTATTTTTGATAGTTTTCAATTAAAATTTACTCCTTTTTTGTACTGCAATCTAATTAAGAGCAAATTGTTTCGCATTCAGATTTATTTTCTACTACGATTATAATTTATTCATCAATTTAATATTCATCAGATGTAAGTATCTCTTGTAAATCAGCAAGGAATTGTTAATTGATAAAGTTTATTTTTTCCTCATATTAAATCATTATATTCAACATTTTTTTTATTTTATTTTTCAGGTTTTGATTGTTTTAAACTCCATTTACACAGCCCATTTCTGTTTATAAGATAAGATTATTAATTAAGTAAGTAATGTATCTTTGAAATTAGCTTATTTCAATTATATTTTTTTATTATTGATTATATTTAAGTAGATATCCTGATTAATCTCTTTATTTAATATTTTTCTAATGCTTATAGAAAAAAGATATTTATAATTAATTTCCCATTCAGTTAATCACTCTTTTCCTTTTCTGAATGTAAATTTACAAATATTTTTCTTCAATTTAATTTGAATAATTTCTTTTTTCTCAAAAGGCTAAAAAAAAAATAATCTTAGTCGATAACTTTATTTAATGATTTTATTGTGGCTCCTATTTTGAAAAAAGGCCAAATAATAATTGAAATGTATATCCTTTTTTTATAAATTTGAATATCTATTTTGTGTAATATCTTATATGGTAAACATTTAAAACGAAAGTAATCTAGTATTTCAATTTAAATTGTATCATAAATACTTTATAAAATCTTTAAGAACTTAAGATAATTTTTTTTATTTTATTTAAAATGATATTTAGCATTGTATTTTAGTAGCATCTTTCTTTTATCTAATTCATGTTTTCTAATCAACTTAAATTTTACTCAGTAAACCAAAAATACTAAATTTACATTAAAAAATTTTTTAAACTATTTTTCTACAAAGTCCTTTAAATTTTCTAATCAAAAATCAGCATTCTAGCTTTTAATTATTGCTAAATATTTTTTTTAAGTTTAATTAGCCTTTAAATTCATGTAAAATACTCACTTTTATTCCTTCAAAGTAATTATTTTAAAAAGAAAATACATACTCGCTAATGAGCATAATTTTATTTATCTAAATAAGAATGCGGAATGGTAAAAAATAAGTACTTTTATAAAAAAATATATTATATAAGACTTACCATAAAATAAAAACAACAAACAATACTCGAATGGAAATTAATTATTTGTGAGGCAGCCACAAATAAGTAAATTAATTAATTAATTAACTTTACCACAAATTATTTATTACACAATTTAAGTGCAAAACTTTAAAATTAGATATTTATTTTTAATTAAATTGATT